TTCGCAAACCGGGGTCTCTGGGTACTTCCCCTAAGGACTTTCGCCCTATTGCTCTCACAAGTTGTGTCTGCAAACTCTTTGAACGTATGGTTAACGTTCGTCTGATGTGGTTCCTGGAACACCATCACCTCCTCTCCCCTTCTCAATTTGGTTTCCGCAAGTGCCGCAGCACGACAGATGTCCTGGTGAACTTGGAGGTCTATATTCGTACTGCTTTTGCTGCGAAGACCTCCGTTGTTGCCGTCCTTTTTGACCTAGAAAAGGCTTACGACACCACTTGGCGTTATCATATCCTATCTCAACTTCATTCTTTTGGCCTTCGTGGTCATCTCCCTCTCTTTCTCCGCAGCTTCCTCTCTCGTCGTTCCTTTCGGGTGCGCCTTGGTACCGCTCTCTCTCCCTCTTTTCAGCAATACGAAGGTGTGCCCCAGGGTAGTGTTCTGAGCACTACTCTTTTTCTGGTTGCCCTCAATGGTCTTCTTTCCTCTCTTCCTTCTGGTGTCTTCTCCGCTCTCTATGTCGATGATCTTACCCTTTGTTGTCAGGGTGATGATTCGCCTCTCCTTCAACGCCGGCTTCAACTTGCAATTGATGCCGTGTCGTCTTGGGCCACAGGTCATGGCTTCAAGTTCTCTACTTCTAAGACTTGTGCCATGACTTTTACGCGGAAACGGGTTGTTCTTCGTCCCTCTTTGTCACTTTATGGTCATCCCCTTGAATACAAAGATTCCGCGAAGCTTTTGGGGTTATTCCTTGACACTCGTTTGTCTTGGTCTCCCCATATCTCTTACCTCCGTGTTGAGTGCTCTAAGGCCCTTACCCTCCTTCGGGTCTTGTCCCATACTTCTTGGGGGGCAGATAGGCGCACTCTCCTTGCTTTACATTCCTCTCTCGTCCTGTCTAAGCTCGATTATGGTTGCCCTGCTTACTCGTCTGCTTCTCCTTCTACTCTTCGCCGTCTTGATGCTTTGCACCATACTGGGTTGCACCTCAGTTCTGGTGCCTTTCGTTCGACTCCCGTCCTTAGCTTGTATGTTGACACTGGCTTCCTGTCTCTCCAGGACCGCCGTGATCGCTACTGTCTTCGCTATCTTGCGCGGTCCTTGCAACATCCTTCCTCTCGCCTCTGTCGTGCTTTAACTTTTACCCCTCCTGCGGTTCCTGTTCCTCTTCACCACCTCCCTCTTTCTGTCCGGTTATCTCGCCTACAGGATTCTCTTTCCGTTCGTATTTCTGATGTTTCTCCTCGTGTTGTTCCTTCTTTGCCCCCGTGGAGGGTCCCTCTTCCGCGGTTTTGTACATCCTTGACTCGTATCACTAAAGCTTTTACCCCTCCTACGGTTCTAAAACGCCTTTTCCTCGAGCACTTTTCTTCTCACTCCCGCTCCGTTTCTGTCTTCACCGATGGGTCTAAGTCAGCGGACGGTGTTGGCTACTCTGTTGTTTTTCCTGATCGCACTTATATGTGTCGCTTGCCTCCGGAGACTAGCATCTTTACAGCGGAACTTTATGCTATTCTCTATGCTCTTCGTCTCCTGCTTTCTCGTTGTCAGTCTTCCTTTGTGGTTGTTGTTGACTCTCGTAGTGCCCTCATGGCTCTCAGGTGCTTTAATCCAGTTCATCCAGTAGTTGTCGAGATCCAGCATTGGCTGTTTCTCGTTCACAGTAAATTTAAGTCGGTTGAGTTTTGTTGGGTTCCCAGCCATATTGGCGTGTCTTTAAATGAGCGTGCGGATGCTGCCGCTAAGGAAGCTGTCCGCTCTTGTCCCATCTCTCGTAAAGGCATTCCGTATTCCGACTTTTACCCGGTTATCCATTCCTCAGTCCTTACCCGTTGGCAGGCTTCTTGGTTGTCTGTTACTGGTAACAAGCTACGTACTCTTAAATGTTGTGTTTCCTCGTGGCCGTCCTCCTTCCACCGTAACCGGCGGTGGGAAACAGCTCTGGCGAGGTTTGCGTATTGGCCATACTCGCTTAACCCATGGTCACTTGATGGAGCGCCGCCCTGCTCCTTATTGTCCTAGTTGCATTGTCCCTCTTACGGTCGTGCATGTCCTTCTTGAATGTCCTGACTTCCAGGACGAGCGTGTGTCTTGCTTTCCGACCGCCCCTCGCGGTCACCTGTCCCTCGATAGAATTCTTGGTGACTCGGATACTTTTGATATCGTTCGCCTTATGCGTTTTTGTTCTCGTATTGGCATCCTTGGTGATATTTAGCGCCCTCTGATTATTTTGCGTATTTGATGGTGCTACATAGCCTTCCCGGTTTGGTGCCTTCTTTTGATAATTACTTACTTACTTGTCGTGTCAACAGTACAATGGTTCTACCTCGATGGTGCAATGCTACACCGTTCTCCCAAATAGCCTATGCGGCTATTAGAGAAAACGGAAATTTCATGGCGGACATTTTCAAACTATCCCAAAGTCGATCTCATAACAAATAGAGTTTATAGAAATATTTTTTCTCGTGACTCGTGAGCGTGTCCGCTGTGCGACCTCAACACAAAAAGTGGTAATGCTCTAAAGCGCCGTGATAACGCTAAAGTGTTAAGAAATTGTGTGAATTATGGGAAGAATTGCAAAGTTTTGTTGAAAAAACTCGCCCAGATAAAGCTGTAGCAGGCCGTTGCATTGACCTTTTTAATGGCAGTGTGATGTCTTACTACAGACAAGTGTTAAAATGTAGGGAAAAACAAGTGTCTTTAGACAGATTCTTAGTAAGACAAGCAAGTCTTAGTGGTATGCAGGCAAAACATGCCAGAGTGTGCACACCAGGAAGTCCTCACTGCCTGATGTTATAATGGAAGGGGACTCCCCTTCCAAACAGTAACACCTCTTCTCCTCCCTCCTCCTCACCATCTTTCATACACCAACAGCAAGGTAAGTAATAACTTACAACCATACAAAACATAGTTTTGTAGGTTTATTTAGATGAATTAGGTATAAAAATTTAGCTTGATGTGGGTTTTTTGGGGTAGTCAGGAACGGATTAATTAATTTCCCATTATTTCTTATGGGTAAATTAGCTTTGGAATACGAGTTTTCAGAATACGAGCTGTCTCCAGGAACGGATTAAACTCTTAAACCGAGGTGCCCCTGTATCAACATTCATGTTCACCATAACGAACCACTAAGTTGGTATGCTGAGTGGCAGTGGCAGCCAGTGGCAGCCCGCACTGGCTGCCACTGGCTCCTTCCCTCACCTCACCTGACTCGCCACCATTCTCCTCCCACCATACTGTTTTTGCTTGTATATACAGACATTATATATAAGTATCTGCATGTTTTGTTTACCATAGTGAACAACTAAGCTGGTATAGTGAGTCCAGACAGTAAAAGGTGGTCACACAGAGTCAGCAGACAGCTGAGGCCCCTCCCTCCCCACCAAGATTACTCCTCCCACTACAGCGCTAATTATCACAACAATCCTGCTATTATAAGAATCCTGGTCATTTTTATCACAGTCAGGGGTCTTTTGTAATAATATCATCACTAAATAATAGCAAGAACATGTATATTATGGCATTTTTAGGTGATGCTGTGGTCACAAGCTGAACAGCAGTGCTGTGAGCTCATGCTGCGTGCGTCAGGCTTGGTAGCTCACTCAATACTGAGACCCTCACACCCGGGAATTTGGCCCACGATTTAAAAAAAAATGGCGTCTGTTTACAAGAGCCCTGATGAAGGTGTGGTGAACCCCATGTATCCACAGGCCGTTTAAATCTTGCATAGTACTCCAATACATCATATGATGTGGAGCACAAGTTACTGCAAGTCACTGAACACATCATATGATGTGTTGTGCAGTTAAAGGGTTAATCTCGGTGTGTATATTTATTGTTGATTTGAAGGTTTAAATGATTGTATGATTTGTTATGAAATTACATATAATATTGCCTTTTCTAGGTGTAGTATGTTCTTTTTGATTGATAATCCTGTAGTTACTGTATTGGGAAAGTAGGAGAAGGTAGATTATTGATGACCATGTAATAGTATTTGTTGTTGAGATAAGATCTGATGTAGTTTGAGAGAGGCCTCAAATTCCATGGTTTTCAAGTTCAAGTTGGAAGCAATTGTATTTACAGTATTTAAGGCACAGACATGACATGGTTGATCTCATCGAGACCTAACAGAATTTGAGTTTGCATGGTGTCCCTTATATAAATTCAGGTGAATGTCTTGTGGCTACATATACCAATACCCTGCTTTTAGGAATTTGGGTTATATATATATAATGATAATATATATCTTGAGAACATATATACCATGGATTTAGGTTACTTAGACAATATTATCATTTAAAAATGTTGAATAATTTTGTTTTAATTCAACCAATTAAAAAAAATATATATAACTTACCTGATATATATTATAAAAAGTAAGTTTAAAATATTAGTTTTTTATTGTCAATCTATAGCTTTTCAATTATTTTCTGTGGGGGAGCCCCTTCAGCTGCCTGGAGCTATCGGGCTAAAATGTGATATATTAGACTAGGGCATTAGTCAATGGAGTTCAGCCTACTGGGAACCACGAGCCAGAACCTGGCCCCCTCGGAGAGGCACAGGGAGCTCACTCAGTACTGAGACTCTCACACCCCAGGAATGTTGGCCAGGACTTAAAAAAAATGGTGTCTGTTTACAAGAGCCCTGAGGAAGCTGAAGTGAACCCCATGTAGCCGCAAGAGTTTTGAATGCTAAGCTATACCTACGAGTGCCCACAAGCGCTGTGCACTCTCCCGATCTACCACCTACAGGCACTCTGCACAGTGCGGTGGTTAATAAAGCATAACAGTACCAGTATTAACACTGGTCTTCCTCATAGGATATTTCTGGCAAATTTTGTTTATATTGATGAAAAGCTATATCTAATACATATCTATATATATCTAATCTATCTAGCTAATCTATCTAGATAATATATCTAATATATATATAGCTATATCTAATATATCTAATACAATTTAGTTTCTAGGAAATTAATACTAGCTTTGCTTTTACCAGATTCAAACAAGCTATTGCTGAGAATGAACGGCGGAGACAGCAAGAAGAACAAGCGGAAATCAGAAGGAGAACACGAGAAGAAAATGCAGTTAAGCGTCGATCTTCTTCACAAGGTACAGTGGAAATTGTAGCATTATTTCACCCTTATTTATTTCATTCCTTTTCTGTGGGGAACCTCGTCAGCCCCCGGAAGCTATTATCAAAGATTAAGTCATACTACCAAGCGTCATCAGTTGCAGAGTTCTTTTTGCCTATCGGGGACCACGAGCCAAAACCTGGTCTCCTTAGGAAGGCACAGAGAGTAATGGCATATGATCACTTTATATTTAAAGGATATCAACTTTGCCATCACCAGGGAAGGCACTAAGAAAGAACAAAGACAGCCTTGTTCCAACCTTCTTGTTCAACAGGTGGATGTCACGTGATAGGTTCCTGCTGCTTCTCTGGTGCCTGCATTTTGAGAACAATGATAATGAAGACAGACATGACAGACTGTGGAAAGTACGGAAGATATTTAGTATATTGAGGGGGAAAATTCCGTGCCTATTATGTACTGGCATCGTATGTTGTGATTGATGAATTGCTAGTTCTCTTCTTGGAACGACGGGCATTCAAACCCATCAAAGCGGCACAAGTTTGGACTAAAGTTCATTGTGTTATGTGACTGTGAAATTGGTATGGTCATGGACATGATATTGTATTCTGGTACAGACGTTGACATACCAGGTCAAGTTCCACACATGGGTTCTCAGGCAGTGTCGTGAAAACACTCATGGAACCATTGCTCAACAAGGGGCATATCCTGTACACCAACAACTACTTTACCAACCCCTGGCTAATCAGATACCTCCTTGAATACAACACTGGCATATGTGGCACTGTCAAGACACACAGGAGGGAAATGCCAGTATTTGGCATTAGTATTGCAGTGGGTGAATGCCAGCTGAGAAAGTGTGTGATAAAATGTTATCCGTGTGCTGTAAGGACAGACATGGGGTGAATATGTTGACAACTATGCAATGTGCAATGTGTGACACCAGTGCAATGTTGGACAGTGGCAAAGTGAACTTTGCAACAAGGGTGAAAATGTATAAACCTGGTTGTGTCATTGACTACAATGTAAATATGCATTTAGTAGATAAATGTGACATGATGATTGGTGCTGTAGAGTGTGTGAGAAAATCTGTGAAGTGGATCAAGAAATTGTTTTTCCACCTTGTTGATGTTACAGTGCTGAACTGTTTCAACACATATCTTGTGAAATCTGGCAAGAGATCACCAATCTGTACATCCAGTGTTGCTCTAGTGTTGCAAATACTGGTGAAATATGGGGTGGAGAGCAGTGTTGTGAAGTGTGGGGTGCTATCTTGAGATTTCCTTGAGATGGTTTCGGGGTTTAGTATCCCCGTGGCCCAGTTCTCGACCAGGCCTCAGATTGACGTGGATAGCACAGACATAGATATATATATATATATATATATATATATATATATATATATATATATATATATATATATATATATATATATATAAAACGGTAGTAGTAGTAGTAGTAGGCATCCTTCAGTCTCGGAAGACTATGGAGTTGCGCCCTGACAGGGCGCAAAGCCTGGGTAGGTAGATATGGAGGAGAAGCTGTTACCCATGCAGCAGGTCCCCCCTCTCCACGTTGCTGAAATTATCCAATAGAAAGGCAAATGCCAATACACATGGTTCCAGCAACGTCGCAGGAGCTGCCAGAACGAGGTCGACGTCAACAACGAACTGCCTTAGGGGCTCCAACTCCGGATTTTTCCTCGAGGTTGATTCCTGAAGCCTTTCCCCAAAAAGGGGTATGGCCGCAAGGCAGCGGAGGTTTAAAATCAGAGTTTTCCTTCCCCTAGATGGGCTGTCTTCCCAGGCTATCGAGTCCCATCTACCCGGAGCAGCTGGTTTTAAGCTGGCGCCAGAGGCACGCCCTCACTCCTTCTCCTGTCGGTAAAAGCAGTTCCACCTGACTTAAAGACTAAGCCACCCGTGCATGCCAGGAGTTGGACTTGGTTGTATATATATATATATATATATATATATATATATATATATATATATATATATATATATATATATATATATATATATATATATATATATATATATATATAAAACGGTAGTAGTAGTAGTAGTAGGCATCCTTCAGTCTCGGAAGACTATGGAGTTGCGCCCTGACAGGGCGCAAAGCCTGGGTAGGTAGATATGGAGGAGAAGCTGTTACCCATGCAGCAGGTCCCCCCTCTCCACGTTGCTGAAATTATCCAATAGAAAGGCAAATGCCAATACACATGGTTCCAGCAACGTCGCAGGAGCTGCCAGAACGAGGTCGACGTCAACAACGAACTGCCTTAGGGGCTCCAACTCCGGATTTTTCCTCGAGGTTGATTCCTGAAGCCTTTCCCCAAAAAGGGGTATGGCCGCAAGGCAGCGGAGGTTTAAAATCAGAGTTTTCCTTCCCCTAGATGGGCTGTCTTCCCAGGCTATCGAGTCCCATCTACCCGGAGCAGCTGGTTTTAAGCTGGCGCCAGAGGCACGCCCTCACTCCTTCTCCTGTCGGTAAAAGCAGTTCCACCTGACTTAAAGACTAAGCCACCCGTGCATGCCAGGAGTTGGACTTGGTTGTCAGAGGCTGTTGGAGACGCATGCCGTATAGGAGCTTTTTATAGGTCATGGGAGCTCGTTCCCCATTACCACACCCTGGCTATGACAACCCCTTGGAACCTATATATATATATATATAACATTATATATATATATTATAATATATATATATATATATATATATATATATATATATATATATATATATATATATAATATATATATAAATATATATATATATATAAATATATATATAAATATATATATATATAAATATATATATATATATAAATAAATGTAATATATATATATATATATATATATATATATATATATATATATATATATATATATATATATATATATATATATATATATATATATATATATATATATATAACTTTTTAGACACTCAACCTACCAGGAGACTCGAACACTGGCCAACAAGGTGGCAGTTGCATGCTTGTTGGCCAGTGTTCGAGTCTCCTGGTGGGTTGAGTGTCTAAAAAGTTATACACTTCAGCTACTGGAATAGGGTAGTCTGTGCATTAAGCATTTGGCACTGAGTTTTCATATATATATATATATATATATATATATATATATATATATGTCGTACCTAGTAGCCAGAACTCACTTCTCAGCCTACTATGCAAGGCCCGATTTGCCTAATAAGCCAAGTTTTCATGAATTAATGTTTTTTCGTCTACCTAACCTACCTAACCTAACCTAACTTAGCTTTTTTGGCTACCTAACCTAACCTTACCTATATATATAGGTTAGGTTAGGTTAGGTAGGGTTGGTTAGGTTCAGTCATATATCTACGTTAATTTTAACTCCAATAAAAAAAATTGACCTCATACATAGTGAAAAGGGTAGATTTATCATTTCATAAGAAAAAAATTATAGTAAATATATTAATTCAGGAAAACTTGGCTTATTAGGCAAATCGGGCCTTGAATAGTAGGCTGAGAAGTGAGTTCTGGCTACTAGGTACGACATATATATATATATATATATATATATATATATATATATATATATATATATATATATGCAACAATGATCACAAAAACACTGATCCAAGTATGCAGAATAACCACATGTGAAAAATAGAAAATGCTTAACGCGTTTTCGGCTAATTCGCCTTGATCAGAGCAAAGTAGAATGAAGATAAGAAAACATTGCTGATCAGACCTTTATATCCGCCTGGGCAGATCACTTGGCCACCCAGTGGGGTGGTCAGTTCCAAATACATTTGGAAGTGTATTTGCGCACAGTTCCAAATATAATTTTGTTTTTACGTGCTAATCCTATGTATAATGAACACGTACACTACATTATGGTAGTAAAACATCCGTACTATCCAAGGACACTGTTACGTGCATGACACTTGTGTACACATATCTTGCACATATTTACCATGTATCATGCTAATTTATATATATATATACAATCTATTTACAGACTATACACTGTCACATACTATATACATTCACCATCAACACATTCAAAACACCGCGAGTGTGAGTAGCCACACCCAGCCAGCCCTCCCTCACTTCGCCAACATTGCCCCTCCCATCATACAGTTATTCACACCAATGTTTCATGTTCATTTATGTATATTTACAACATATGAACACACTATACACTGACACACACTATATACATTTACCATCAACACATTCAGAACATCGCGAGTGTGAGCAGCCACACCCACACAGGCCCTCCCTCACTCCAACATACAACATAAGAACATAAGAACAAAGGCAACTGCAGAAGGCCTATTGGCCCATACGAGGCAGCTCCTATTTGTAACTGCCCAATCCCACTCATATACATGTCCAACCCGCGCTTGAAACAATCGAGGGACCCCACCTCCACGTTACGCGGCAATTGGTTCCACAAATCAACAACCCTGTTACTGAACCAGTATTTACCCAAGTCTTTCCTAAATCTAAACGTATCCAATTTATACCCATTGTTTCGTGTTCTGTCTTGTGTTGATACTTTTAATACCCTATTAATATCCCCTTTGTTTAGTCCATTCATCCACTTGTAAACCTCTATCATGTCACCCCTAACTCTTCGCCTTTCCAGTGAATGCAACTTAAGCTTTGTTAATCTTTCTTCATATGAAAGATTTCTAATTTGGGGAATTAACTTAGTCATCCTATGCTGGACACGTTCAAGTGAATTTATATCCATTCTATAGTACGGCGACCAAAACTGAACTGCATAATCTAAATGGGGCCTAACCAGAGCTAGATATAGCTGAAGAACCACACCAGGTGTCTTGTTACAAACGCTTCGATTAATAAACCCCAGTGTCCTATTTGCCTTATTACGAACATTCATGCATTGATCCTTTTGTTTTAAATTCTTACTAATCATAACTCCTAGATCCCTTTCGCAATCCGACTTCACAATCTCAACACAATCTAGCTCGTATCTTGTAACTCTATCATCATTACCTAGCCTC